GACTCAGGCCCAGATACTTGTTGGCAGGCCTGAGCAGCCTGTCGTTCCCCGACCTTTGCCGTCCTGAGTTAGAGCCATGGTAGAGACAACTCGAGCTCAGGTGTTTGACTTGCCGGGCTATCACCACAGCGTGAGGTTTCTGACGCAGCTCCTCTGCAATCTTCATCCTTGGGCAGCCTGAAAAGGCTTCGATCTCCTGCGCCGCCACTCCACACTTCCAGGTGCAACCTCCTTTACGAGCAGACTGATGGCACGAAGGTGTTCAGATCCTCAGAAATCGTGTTCAAGGTTAGCACGCCACAGAGTACGGCAAATGAAGGAATCGAGTCTCTCTGAAAGGTCGCAGCGGGTGCCATACGAGCAGCTGGTTCTCACATCCCTCGAGACCCAGGCGATGCATCCGTTGCAAAGCGCTGCGATGTGTCCCTGCCTGGCTCAGGCCACGTGGCCCGGCGCCGACTTCCTTCATCGTCTTCACGAATCCATGCTGCTCACAGCAAGCTTGGGGTGGGGAGAATTTGAGCGAAGAGGCTTCGAGACACACCCTGTTGTTGCGCTGAGGCTGCTGCGAGAAGAGCTCGTCGAAGAGGAAGAGACCGCACAGGCGGGGCCCAGCAGCGGAGGCTTCTGGCTAGGCTCGGCTCAGCCGATCTCAGCCTCTGACGAGGCCTTGCAGTTGCCGATGACAGGTACCAGAGGCTTGGCGGGAGACTGTGCGCGTTTGTAGCTACCCAAATGTGGGCCTTTTAGAAGGGATTTGAGATCGCAGATCTACTCTTCGAGGGTGGCTCGACTGTGCACTGGGAATTCAGAAGGTCGTGAGCGGTGGCAGTGAGACCTTGAAGACTTTGCAGTGAAGTTGCAGGTCATGCCAGCCGCTGGGACCGCCTCTCCGTTCGATGGCATCGTTTGCAGTCGTCGCAGCGTCTCTCAGATTCTCTCCGAGTTCCAAGGCATCTTCGGGCAGTTTTGGGTTTCGCTTGGGGCTCAGGCTGGAGGAGTTGGCGACCGAAGCGCAAGAGACCTTACGCCGCTTGCCGAGTCGGTGGCTGAGACCGGTCGAAGCGAAGGAGGGAGTTCTAGGCGTTTTTATTTTGTGGTCAGGCCTCTCTGGCTCCGACATCCTCAAGCGCATCTGGGCCTTGTTGGAGATCAGCAGAACGGCCCGGAGCCCAGCAGCCGGAGCGCCCATCGCAGAAGCATTTTTGTTAGAATGTGGGAGGCTGGCCGTGGGAGCGCCGGAACCAGGAGCCAAGCGCAGCCCAGGCGAAGTCAAGAAGGCCAGGGTGCGGGACTGGGACTGTCCGCAGGACCCCGGCGCCATTTGCGGTCTGCGAGGGATCTCCAGAGCTCCGCAGCGTGTCCGAGGGCATCGAAGGCTGGGGGATGTGGGGGATTGCGCCATCACATCGAGGTCCGTTGAGTACGCGCTTGTATGGTAGCAGCATGCTTGAACAGTCGTATTCGCTGTTGTGTGCGGGCATACCGAGTGGGAAGCGCACGTCACCAATCGTCTGTGTGTTCTTTCCCGCAGACTCCTAGGTTTACGAGATCACGCTCGGGAGTAGCTCCAGTGAGCTCGTAGTTCCTCATAGCCCACCAAAACCCTCGCGCTCGCAGGTTTGGCCTTCCCGAACAGGTGATGCCTCTTGGAAGCCCTCTCTGAGGATCTGGCCGTAACTTGCCTAGCGGCCTCGCGACTCAGCGAAATCTCCGTGAGCAGGCCAGCACGAAAAACAGTGCAGCACGCGGCTCCCGCGAGAGACTGGACCGCTTAGCATCAGCATCAACTCCGCAAGAAGTCGTTTGCATGGCCACAACATGTTGCTGTCATAGAGTGCCATGATGCAGACTTACCTACACCTGGAAACGAAGGAACACAGAGACTTCCTGCAAGAGTCGAACTATCTAAGATATTGTAGAGCGTCGATCCAGTCTCTTTATGCCGCCGTGCTCCGGGCCGGAGAGACCCGGCCGCAACTGAAAGCTGTGCGAGACTGGCGCCCGAGCTTTCTTGTCATGGTCTTGTACGCGCCCGGCCTATCTCCAGCCTTTTGCTCTGTTGGCCAAGGCTTCTGGACTGTGTCTTGTAGCTGAAGCGATTCATGGCCTGTCTAATTGCAAGCGAGGAGGCTCAAAACACATAGTCCAGGAGCTGTGCCCTCTCAACCGTCTCACAACTACCAGTTACCACGGTCATGCGCTGGCTGGAAAGACTGTTGAGGTGTCAACTTTGCTCTTGCACCTTCTCTTGGACATAAGGCGCAAGTGCAGGCTCCCGGGCGTGTGGCACAGGCTGGGCGGGGGGGGAAGGAGAGCACAGCGGCGGCTTTTGTTTTCAAATTGCAGCGGCACAGGCAGCACAGGCAGCACAGGCACGCGCTCAGGGCTTCGCTGGCCCTCCCGGCCTGGCCCAGGCCCAGGCCCAGGCGCGCCGCTGCGCGGGCGCCGCGTCGCCGCGTCGCAGAGAGAGACTCCGGGGTTGGATTTTGCAGGCTCGCGCCGAAGCCGAGCGGAGTCAAAAGCCGCTCGACCGCGGTTCATGGCGGGAACGGTGATTTGTGCAGCGCTGTCATACTTTCTCTTACCCTGCAAAAAGCACCCTCAGCCCGTCAGGATTGCCGACTACTCCAAGATGCTCGAGAAGGCCACAGCTTCCGGTGGCCCACCTTGGCGACTCAGCGTGCCGCGAGCTCTGTAGATCGCAATCTCTCAGAGAGGCCATGCACATACGGTCGGCCGACACGCGCTTCATAGTTGGCCAGGCTCTGCAGCAGCTCAATTCCACGCTACCTCGTGAATCTGCCGAGAAGGCAGAGTCCTCTCCCCATCTTGGCCCATGGCTACTGTAGGTGAGGCTTCAAGGGTATCGCAAGGAAGAGAAAGTCCCAGCAAGAGCGTCTTTGCTTCTTTCGGGCTTTGTTTCGAGTTGGCTTTTCGTCAGGCACAAGCTTTGCTGCACGGATATGCCATGGACAAGCCTGAGGTGCAGCCTTGTCTTCGAAGTCTTTCTTTTGTTCCTTGCATGGCATGGCTTTCAATGCACCGAGTAAGTGATGCGAGCGCCACTCCACTAGGATTTTGCTGAGGATACATCGCAAAAGACTCTCAACAGTAGTGCTTGTGGCAGTTGTCTGCACCTCTGTAGTCTGTAGCGATATGCAGCTATTTTTCGCACAGGAAGTCTGCAAAGTCCGCGGCAAAGATCCCGGACGCGTTCCCGAGTCCTTACTCCTCGAGGATAGCCTATCAAGAGTGGGCCAGTCAGCTCTGAGTTCGAGGAGTAAGGCCAGTCTTCCCTAGGTGTTTCCAAGGACATCTGCTGGATTCCGAACCCATGAGAGCAGCCCACCCTAGAATCATCCGTTCCGAAGATTCCCGAGAAGAATCGAGGCAAGACTGAGCATCCAGTTTCATCTTGTCAGCATCATGGCAAGCGACCTGCGGCGGCTGGCACGCCTTTGCCTGGTAGCATCTTCGCGGCACGAGGGTCGTTGAAGGGAAGTTGAAGTGCACAAGATCTCTAATAATGCAAGAGGCAAGGGCCCATGGCAGTCACCTCATCTCGAGACAAGAACACTGCCACATGCATGCATAGGATCTACGCACACGCACACAGACGAACATACACAAAGAAAAGCTCTCTGAAACAAAGTACCTTTCACACACACACATATATATATATATATGTATATGTATACATGTATACATACATNNATATATATATACACAAGATAAGATAAGATAAAATGTGATCAGATGAGACGAGATAGAATATCATAACATGGCATATAATCTAGCATAATATAGCACAACATAACTTACATGACATAGCCTACCATAACAAAAAACGGTGTGTATAGAGGTGCAGTAATTATATATATATATACATACATNNATACATACATACATGTGTATGTATACTGTGACATACGTTTATGCTGATGAATGTACATGTTTGTCTATTTGTCTCTGCATACGAGTGAGGCATCTTTAATACGTCCGTCTTTATGTATCTATGTATTTTACCTACAACCTATATTTCTACCGGGCTGTCCGTCTGTCTATCTTTATTTTAGACACATATCTATATGCATACATGCATATAGATAGATAGATAGATAGATAGATAGATAGATAGATAGATAGATATGCACCTGCACACAACCATAGTTGCATGTATGCGCAGTCGACTTTGAACATGTTTGGCTGAGAGCTTTTCGTTTGGTTTTTTGTCTTTGGAATGCATCTGTCGGACAGCTTGGATGAGGCCTGTGTTGCAGTGCCATGTTTGCGCATGTCGACTGAGCTGGAGACCATGCCTGACTGTGCTGCAAGCTAGCCTTCAGCGATGATCATCTTAAAGACGCGCGCTTTACGACCGTCACGTCAAAACCTTGCACTTTGCATGAGAAAGCGATGAATTGGCCCAGGTGCTTTTCGTGTTGCCTTGCTCATGGCGCATTGGAAACGCATGGATTTCGAGCACTCGACCGTCGAGGAGGTGGCCAGGGTTGCGGGGGGAGGCTGTTCCCACAAATACAGGTCCTTCGTGGGATGTAGTTGCGCGTGCAGTTCCCCCAGGCCGATCCGCGCTTCCCGTGTGGCGCGTGCAGCGGCGACGATGCTGCCACTTCCAGATTCGCTACAACGTGCGGAGGCGGTGTTAAAGCAGAAACCACGGCGAGGAATTTTAGCTTTAGGGTCTAGCTTCATTCAGGATCCTTCTTGCAGGCATGTCGAAGATGAGGCATGAGCAGATTGGGCAAAGGACGAAGGGATAGGTGCGCATCAAGCGATAGTTCTGCCGGACACTCTCGCCAACCATGTCACCATGTGCAAGCGCAGTCATCATCAGCATCAGCAGGCAACCCCAAAGCCCGAGATGCGAAGCCAAGGAAAGTCGAAGCTTATGTCGCCGCGCTGACAAGGGACAGAGCGAGTTGGGAAGGGGAGTTCCGTATTATTCCGTATTCCCCCAAAAGATGGCGAACCCCGAGTATGTGTTCTTGCAGTCTGCTGTGCATTCAACGGTGACTCAGCGGGGTGCTGGTCTAGAGCTGTTTGTGAGTGTATCCGCACTGGCGGCGCAGTCTTCTCTTCCATGCAGCTGCAAGTCAGGAGATGGAGCCTTTGCTGAGTCGGCAGGAAACCGAGGCCACAGTCGGATGCATCCGATGTGGAGGGTACTGTACTCCGAGCAAGTGAGATCAAGTGAACGCCGGTGGGCACCGTTCAACTACTTGTAAGAGCTTCGTGTTCGATAATTCGAGCGTTGGCCATCCTGAAGCTGCGAGGCTTTGGCACGGTTCCTGTACAACTTCGTGCAGCTGAAGAGCCAGAAGCCACCGGGCTCAGATCTACACTTATGAGCGCCCGGACATGGCATGGGGCGCCACCGGCAGTCTTGGCAGAAATCAAAACTAAGCATGTCTGTCTCGCCTAGATGAGGAAGCTCCTACCGCTGCAGCCCATGCTGGGCATGGCTTACAGGCAATCGGGGCTTTTCTTGTTGGACAATGTGCTTCCTCCTTCTTGAGGCCTCTGACTCGTTGTGCTTTGGGTCCCGGCTCCTTCTGCCTGAGTGCCGCAGCGCCCCAGGACTCTTTTACCGGCTTTGCCAGCTGATGCTTTGGCCTCCACGGGACTTGCGATGGTCCTCCGACCCATTGCAGAGGGTTGCATGCTGGTACCTGTAGAGTGAGGGTCCTTGCAGGTCCTAGCAATGTCCAGGTGGGCTATGGGAACATCACAAGATTCAGCCAGAGTATGAGCCATGCTCTTCTTGGATGAAGCGCTGCTTCGTAGCTGAAAGAGACGGGAGGCCAAAGACGGCCAAAGACGCACGCAGCAGAACTGGTGTGTCAGGTCTACTCCGGGCTGCGTGAAGGATCTGCCTGGCAGGCCGGGACATCGAGAGCACATACCTGTCTCAGGGTTTAGGGTTTTGGGGTTTAGGGTTTAGGGTCTTGTCTTGTCCACCTTTCCCTCCTTAGCCACTGTCGTGGCCTGCTGCTGTGACGCAGGAGCTCGGCAACCGGATCGCTGCAGGCTGGACAGAAGACCGTGTTTTGAAACACCACAACATCTCGGAATCACCATCACACACACACACACATACGCACGCGCACGCGCACGCACGCACGCACGCACGCACGCACGCACGCACGCACGCACGCACGCACGCACGCACACACACACACACACACACACACATATTCATTGCGTAAGTCTCCAACCCCAAGAGCG